TTTGGTTACCAGTATTGTTCCAAATATATTCTTTTGCGTTCAACAGCAGAGGGAAACTCATACAGGTTTAGAACAACAACAGAATTTTCATTTTTGGGTGAACTATTCCTCTAAAGCAGCCTAATATAGCTGCTGTTGCCATTTGTGTCAATAATGTAAATCAAACATCAGAAAGAAAATCACTTACTGTCCTTGACTGAATCACTTTTGTAAAATAAGTAAGAATTAATGTATATTGAATTTATACAGTGAAGACTATTCAGTCTATTTGTACATTTATTTTATACAATATAATATTTCTTATTCATTTTTTAAAAAGTTTTTCAAGTTGGTTGATTTCGTATGTATCTTTGTGCTATTATAATTTGTGACTGTTTACTTGTTCAGTAAGCTTGGTTTTACTTGAGCTAGTATTTTTTTTTTGTGATATTGAAATTGGTAACAAGAATTATGAAATTTCAGTGCATCAAATAAATTTGATAGCACAAAAATCCTATTTATCATTCAACATATTCTGTTACACCAAATACACAAAATAACGATCTTTAAAATAGCATCATATGACCTCTTTAATGCGGCCCTGGAGAGAGGTGTTGTAATAATGTAAAATATGTGAACAATAATGTGTTTTTCGAACACCCTAGTATGAGAGCCTGTTCTAGTACACCCCCAAAACAAAATCAAGACTTTGTAAAAGAGCATAATAGGACCCCTTTAACTGTGCATATTTGTCCCCAAAAGTGAGTTAAATGTGACAAAACCTCAATTTAGAGACGTTCTCATTTATAAAAGCGATCTGTAAAGGACGTATTTTTATTCTAAAAGTGCAAAAACATTTCTGTTACGGTTAAGGTCTATTTACAATTAGCTAAAAACTATTTGTAGGCTATATGGAATGTCTGCATTGAGATAGTCGAGGGGACTTTAAAATACAAATTGCAGGTTTTTTTTTTTTTTTGGGTTTTCAAATTCAGTGTAAGGCAAGGAAAGAAAACTACCACTACTGTCTTAAATGACAAGATCTATAGATAAATTAGAATGTCAATTTGAATTGATCGACTGACATACAAACTAAAATGATTAAGTATTAAGTACTTTGCATGAGAAAGGATCTCCATGAACGACAACCAATGTTAATTATATTTTTAAATAGCTGTCATATTGTCTTCCAGTTTAATATATTCCATTAAGTTAAGTCTCAAAGACATGCTTTTCAGTACAGTGGTTGTGAGAGGGAGTGGGCGTGGCTTTCCGCTCTGCCTGCGCCTGACGTCAGGCCGTTAGAGACAAGCGGCACAGCAGCAGCCGTCACACACACACACACACACACTCAGCGAGGGCGACTGCGCCTTTAAGACCCGCAAAACTACCAGCCAAACCAGCCTCGGTGTCAATGTGCGAACGATGAATTTACTCGATATGGTTTTGTTGAAACTCTTGATGCTTTTATACTGCTTAAGCGACACCAAAGGTAAGTGGGTTTTGCTTTATTTCTGAAAAAAGTGACGGTTAATCGGACTGTGCTTTAGCTGAAGTGAGCTAGTATGGGAGGGGTGAACATAGAGAGAATGAGAGTGAGTGCGGAAGTGAAACTAAACACTAAAATACACAACTTTTACAGTTAAACACGTGGAATATGATGTTTGTTCACATAACAGCATTATTAATAGACAATGTGCTGTGGCGTTTTCATAATGACTTTGAGTGGGATATTTCAGGAGGGTGACAATAAATGTCCTAGCTAGCTGTCAAAGACAGCCCGGCTAGCTAACTTAACGAATGGATTCACGAGTGAAGTAATCAGGAGTTGAGACCGATTATACATTCGTTTAAATTATACGTTTCTGTCCTGTTTGCATTCTTGCCTTATTTCAGGAGTGTGTTGACGAGTGCGCAATGTTTGTGAGAGTTGGTGTTAGGGGAAAAACATGAGGGCGAAATGAAAGACGCTACACACCTTTCCTGTTATTTCTACACAAGAGTGTTGTTGCTAGTCTAGCTCACTTTTTTTTACTTGAGAGTTGATATATGTTTTCATAAATTACTGAACAAAATGTATCAAAAAGGAAAAAAAAAACTTCCTAGAATGTATTAAGCTGACTGTTGTAGTTTGGGTCAGGCTTAGTCTGTAGTAACTATAATTAACATTGTTTACTAACAATAGAAGTCTGTTGCAATAGCTGGATAAGCATGGCTTTGTGTGGTTGGACACAGAGCTGCAGCAGACACTTCAAGAAATTAATTTCACCGTAGATTGTTGTACACTTTCGATAAGGTGAAGTTCAGTTCTCTTCTGAAGCAGTAAACGTACTGTGCCTTCCTTCCTTGCTGTCAGACAAGAAGTGATGACATTAGACTAACTTAGTGCTTTGAGATTTATCTCTGTCTTTATCACTATCGGTTTTCCTTTCTTTCCTCATATTTTAAATGTCTGCTACTTGTTCACAGCCAAGCTTTCTTGGGCTGCTGAAGATGGCTAATTTTGAAGAAGTGTATTTAATCAAGATGTTTAATTTTATCTCTTTGTATGCATTAGTATTTTTGTACTTACTAAAAAGTCCATTGGGCAATGACCTTATTTATCAGTATGAAATAAGGTGCATTCCTTTATTAGTAAGCGTTCTTGACAGTTCAGCTTTGTTTTGTTCAACCTGTTTTGGCTCAGCTGAGTTTGTTGCTATGGGATTTTATTTTTGGTGCTCATCTAGTTCTTGTTGCCCTGGGTCAGGGGTAGGCAAGTTCGGTCCTAGAGAGCCGCAGTCCTGCAGAGTTCAGCTCCAACCCTAATCAAACACGCCTGAACAAGCTAATCAATGTCTTCAGGATTACTAAGGCTATAGGCAGGTGAGTTTT